CCTGAGCCATGGCCGGCTGAGCCTGCGCGTCCAGAGCCTGTGCTCCGCAACGGGAGAGGCCACAAACAGTGAGAGGCCCGCGTACCGCAAAAAAAAAAAAAAAAAAAAAAAAAAACCACAAGGAAACAGGTATTATGTTTTAGATAAACTAACTTATAATATATACAGTATTTATTTTCTTAGGCAGCAAAATACAATCAGTAAGCAGTAGAATGCTAGGCTTTGGTACAAGAGTTCAAACAGAAACACAGTCTAGTCCTAGAAGTACACTGGCTACAGAGAATCACTTTTTAAATAAATCACCCCAATCTGCCTCATATACGACTAAACAGCCTCATAATAAATTGTTTATGAAAACTTAGAAGTTATATTTTTAAATGACATTTGTATATGAAACCTTCATTCTCTAGGCAGTTGAGATGCCCAAATAGAGAATGTTACAGCATAGAATTACTCTGACACAAGTAAAAATTAAATTAAAAACAAAAACGAAACATTTTGCTCTGTTTCTTTGTTTACAAGGTATCACCTGCCTATGTATCTCCCCCAAATCCTACCATTTTCAGAGCCACTCAACTAGGTGCTAATCTCTCTAATATTGGCAGCTATTAGCTGTCTCAAACCAAAGGAATCATTTTTTCAGTAAGAGGTGTGTGCCACCAGTCCATATGGAAGCCAAGGCAGCAGCTGAAAAATGAATCGAGCAGGGGGTAGCAGGAAGCTTAACCAATCAACACTGTGAAACATATTTCAGAAATAATAGACACATAGATCAACGGAAGAGAATTGAGTTGAACTGCCCAGAAATAAACCCACACATATATGGTCAATTAATTTTATTCAAAGGAGTCAAGAATATACAATAGAAAAAAGATCGTGACTTCAATAGTATCGGGAAAACTGGGCAGCCACATGCAGAAGAATAAACCTTGACCACTTCTTACACCATATACAAAAATCAACTCAAAATGGATTAAAGGCTTGAACATAAGACCCGAAAGCATAACACTCCTAGAAGAAAACAAGGAGGGGTAACCTCCTTGACATCAGTCTTGGCAAAGACTGGATCTGACACCAAATGCAAAGGCAACAAAAGCAAAAATAAACATGTGGGACTACATCAAACTGAAAAGCTCTGTACAGCAACGGAAACCATCAAAAAAATGAAAAGGCAACCTACAGAATGGGAGAAAATATTTGCAAATCACATACCTGATAAGGGGTTAATTTCCAAGATATATAAAGAACTCATGCAATGCAAAGAAAAACAATCTGACTAAAAAAAACCGTCAGAGGACTTGAATAGACATTTTTCCAAAGAAGGCATACGAATGGCCAACAGGTACCTGAAAAGGTGCTCAACATCACTAATCATCAGGGAAAGGCAAATCAAAACCACAATGAGATATCACCTCACACTTGTTAAGATGGCTTTTCTCAAAAAGACAACAGATTACAAGTGCTGACAAGGACGTGGAAAAATGAGAACCCTTGGGCACTGTTGGTGGGAATGTAAATTGGTGCAGCCACTATGGAAAGCAGCGTGGAAGATTCTCAAAAAATTAAAAACAGAACTACCATATGACCCAGCAATTCCACTTCTGGGTATTTGCCCAAAGGAAATGAAATCTCTATTTTGGAAAATGATCTGCATCCCCAAGTTCACGGCAGCATTATTTACAATAGCCAAGACATGGAAACAACCTAAGTGTCCATCAACAGATGAACGGATAAAGAAAATATGGTGTGTGTATATATATACACTCACACAATGAAATACTAGTCAGCCATAAAAAGGAAATACTGTCATTTAAAACAACATGGATTACAGAGTGAAATAAGTCAGAAAGAGAAAAACAAATACCGTATACTAACACATATATATGGAATCTAAAAAAAAAAAAACGTTCTGAAAAACCTACGGGCAGGACAGGAATAACGATGCAGGTGTAGAGAATGGACTTGAGGACACGGGGAGGGGGAAGGGTAAGCCGGGAAGAAGTGAGACAGTGGTATGGACATATATACACTACCAAATGTAATATAGATAGCTAGTGGGAAGCAGCTGCATAACACAGGAAGATCAGCTCATCAGCTAGGTGCTTCGTGACCACCTAGAGGGGTGGGATAGGGAGGGTGGGAGGGAGATGCAAGAGGGAGGAGATATGGGGATATATGTATATGTATAGCCGATTCACTTTGTTATAAAGTAAAAACTAAAAACAAAACAAAACAAAAAACATGGATGAATCTTGAGGGCATTATGCTAAGTAAAATAAGTCAGACAGAAGACAAATACTGTATGATCTCACTTATATGTGGAATCCTAAAAGAAAACCGAACTCATAGATACAGAGAACAGACTGGTGGTTGCCAGTTGCCAGAGACAGGTGGCAGGGGTCCGGGCAGGGGTAGATAGGTGAAATGGGTGAAGGTAATCAAAAGGTACAAACTTCCAGTTATAAGGCTAGTAAGTCCTGGGGATATAACGTATAGCATGGTGACTAGTAAAAATAACGTTATTTGTATATTTGAAATTTGCTAAGAGAGTAAATCTTAAAAGTTTTCATTACAAGAAAAAAAAACTGTAACTATGTGTGGTGATGTTTGTTAACTAAACTTGTGGTTAATCGTTTCATAATACATACATATATCAAATCATTATGGTGCACAGCTAAAACTGATACAATGTCATATGTCAATTATATCTCATATTTTAAAAATCCTTCTAATACTGTTTTAATCATTTAATCAATAAGGAGAGGTTAAAAATATACATAAATTAAGTTCGTTATCAAAAAAGAAAGAAGAAAAAAATGACAAAAAAAAAGGAAAAATAATCATAGCAGCTAATATTTACTGAAGGGTTCCCATGAACAGGCTATGTTAAGTGCTTTAACTACATAGGCAATCCTTAGAACAACTGTAGCAGTAGGTACTATTATTAAAGAACTTACTCAACGCCACACATTTATTCAGAATATTACAATATTCAGAATATGGTAAAGCCTTGAAACTTTGCTCCCGCATTTACTGGTTGATTCTGAGCAACAGACACTCTCGGATTCCAGTCTCCACAGCTTTAAAATGTTAACTGCACGACACAGTGCAACATCTGCATTTCCTAGGCCTCGGTGGCTGGTGTCACTAAATACCCCACCCACTCATGTCCTAGCCAATCCTAATCAGGGCAGGAACAAATATTAGGACTACTTTTGTTACCACTGTGAGCCTGGGAGGAATGGCTGCTCTCACCCCACTGCCATGCCCCAGAAGCCAGCCTAGAGGCTGAGTCAGTTTCTCCACAGGCCCAGTCCTGACTTCTCTCCTTTTCCCAACCAACTCATACTGATGAGACTCCAGCATGCTTTCAATGATGTCAGTGCTGTCTGAAATCATCTACCCCACCTCAAGGGTAACAGACAATCGAAAGTATCTATATATGAAAATCCCTGGAGAGTTCACATTTCTCCATGCATTCAATCCAAATGGAATAGTAGAGGATTAGGTTATTGGGGGTAACATAATTTTGGTTAACTGGCGGTCACCCAAAAAATCTTTTAAATGACATTCTAAAATGGATCAATGACCTGCACTATTTTGTAAGTAGTAGATTTGAACATAATTGAACCCTTGGCTGAGAAATTTGCTACATCTCAGGGTGGTCATCTAAACACTGGAACAATATGGTTTTGAACATGCCCTCAATGTGGAATACATTTTATACCGTTGGCTTACACATACATAAAAAGGGCTGAAAAAACGTTTTACAAAAGAAAGCTTATTCTTAATATATGAGATATAATCTTTCTTCTGTTCTATTGGGGGTTTTTTCCCACTAAAAGAAAAAAATATGCTGGAACTCCTCTCCCAAATAATTCCTCTACCTACTAATTCCCAACCTACTGTAGGTAACAACCTACGGTTTGCAAAGCACTGGTACAAGCAGCCCTTCACCGTGTGGTTTTGCCAGCACATAAGACCAACCCAGAAAAGCAATGTTGTAAGTAACCAGTATTGGACAGAACATACAGGCTGTTTTCTTAAAAAATATATATTAAGCTGAATTATTAACTGAGGGAATTTTCTCCACCTACCAGAGGGGAAAATACATGACAGTCGTGCAAAGGTTTCCTTTAATCAGGAGACAGTGGGATTTAACAGAGCACATGACTTGGCATCAGGAAAACCTGTATTCATTTTGCAACCCCCCCCCCCCCATGAAATCAATCTTGGCAATGATAATTAACAGCTGCTAAAACCATTCTGTGAAAGGCTACTGAGAAACTTACAATGAAGGGATCGTTCCAACAAACACCTGAACCCAATGATCAATCTTAATATCACATAAGGTGAGAGCCAGCCTTTACTGCCTGCTGATATGATACACAGCACCACCCATAAAGTACAATGGACAAAAAAATAAAGAGAATGGAGGAACACATTAAAGGGATATAACCAGCCAAATCCAGAGTAGTTGTACAGGACAAATGACCTGATTTTTCAACAAATAAAGGGCAAGCGCGGGTGTGGGGGGAGGAGAAGAGACGAAATTGCTATAGATTCAAAGATTTACGAGACTATCACCCAGATGTAATAGGTGGTCCTTGTTTGGATCCCAATTCAAACAAACCAACTGTAAAAAGACATTTATGAGATAACTGAGGAAACTGAATACCAAGCGGATACTAGGTAATATTTAGGAATTACTATGTTCATTTTCTTAGGTGTGATTATAGGGAGAAAAAGGGGGTGAAAAAAATCCTTACCTCTTAGATGTACATTAAAGTATTTATAGATGAAATGATATGATGTCTAGGATTTGCTTTAATATAATCTAAGGTGGGGAGGGAGTGGGGGCTATAGATCAAATAAAACTGACCATATGTTGGTATCTGTTGAAGCTGGGGTATAAGGTATTATACCATCTTTTGTACTTTTGTATATGTTTAAAACTTTCCATAATAAGAAACTATAATATAAAAAGAAAATAAGAAAACCTGGATTCAAACTCCGGAATTCATTAGATGTAGGAGCTGGGAGGTTTCTTAAATCCTTTGATCTTCAATTTCCTCATCTGAAAACAGAAATGATAATCCCTATTTAAGAGTTACTGGGAGGAATGAAATGAGATCATGGGTTCACATCTTTCCGACATGCAGCTCTCATAAACTGCAAAACACTTAAGAACATCAGCACGATAGTTAATTCCCTCTCTGCAATGCTCTGGAAGCAGAGACACATTACAGGTTTGTGGGAATAGAAACAGGTAATAAGCTGAATCCATTTGAACTCTCAACAATTTTTGTTTTGTAGTAATCCTTTAATAAGACACTGTTTACTTCACTGGCCCCTTTCTCCCCAAAGGAGTGTCAAAGATATTGCAATCAATTGCAGGTCTTGCAGCTTCCCTGGTGGCACAGTGGTTAAGAATCCACCTACCAATGCAGGAGACGCGGGTTCGAGCCCTGGTCCGGGAAGATCCCACATGCCACGGAGCAACTAAGCCTGGGCGCCACAACTACTGAGCCTGTGCTCTAGAGCCCGTGAGCCACAAGTACTGAAGCCGCGTGCCACACTACTGAAGCTTGTGCGCCTAGAGCCTGTGCTCTGCAACAAGAGAAGCCATTGCAATGAGAAGCCCTCACACTGCAATGAAGACTAGCCCCCGCTTGCCGCAACTAGAGAAAGGCTGCGCGCAGCACCGAAGACCCAACACAGCCAAAAATAAATAAATAAAATCTTTAAAAAAAAAAATTGAAAGTCTCTAACTTGAGCTGTTTATATTTCTTGTTTACTTTCCCAATTATATTTCCCCTGCTAAAGATAGAAAGTAATTTTCAGGAGACTGTGTTAAGATACAACTGAATGCAATTAGGAATCAAGGTAATCTAAATAGGACTTTGTTTAAAATATTCCAGGTGCTTTGAGAAGAATAGATTTGCATCTTCCAGCATTAATGCTTCATCTCAAATAAAAGGAAATTAACAAAGGTTCAAGTCTAAGTAACACAAAGGGAAATCTGTCACTATCTGGCTTCAGCCTGCAGAATGGGTTGGCGGGAGCCAGGGTGATCTTTCTATAATGCGAATCTGATTAAGTCATTTCCCTTCCTTTCAATGGTTTCCCTCTGCTTTCAGGAAAGAGTCCAAACTCCTGAACAAAAAGGCTCAGGTGGCTCTCCAGCCTTATTTCCTCCCTCCTCCCCTAGTCTAAGCCCCTTCTCCCCACAGGCCCCCAAGGCTTCATCCTCCACTCCTTTCTCCCTTACCTCTTAGTTGTCAAGTCCTGTTGATTCTCCTGAAATGTCTCTCAAATCTGCCCACTCCATTCCATTCCTGCTGCCACTGCCCTAGACCAGGCCCTTTTTTTTTAACCTTTACTCCCCCATCTCCCTAAATAGGATATATCCTTATTGCTTTTTCCAATTATGAAAGCCATTCATGCTCATAAAAAAGAAAAATAAGGCAATAAGGAAAGGAATAAAAGTCTCCCCATGATCTCAGGACACAGACATAAAGAACTTATCTTTCTGGCACATTCATGTTTGTAGCAGCATTATTCAAAACAGCCAAAAGGGGAAAGCAACCCAAATGTCCATCTATGGAATGGATAAACAAAATGTGTTCATAAATACAATGTAGGTACAAAATGTGTATATCCACACATGGAATATTATTTAGCCTTAAAAAGGAAGGAAATTCTGACACATGCTACAACATACACAAACCTTGAGGACATGATGTTAAGTGAAAAAAGCCAATCGCAAAAAGACAAATATTGTATGATTCCACTTATATGAAGTATCCAGAGTGGCCAAATCCATAGAAACAGAAAGTAGAATGGCGGTTGCCAGGAGCTAGGGGGAGGGGGAAACGTGGAGTTGTTTTTTTGTTTGTTTGGTTTTTTTTGCGGTACGCGGGCCTCTCACTGTTGTGGCCTCTCCCGTTGCGGAGCACAGGCTCCGGACGCGCAAGCTCAGCGGCCATGGCTCACGGGCCCAGCCGCTCCGCGGCACGCGGGATCTTCCCAGACCGGGGCACGAACCCGTGTCCCGTGCATCGGCAGGCGGACTCTCAACCACTGCGCCACCAGGGAAGCCCCCGTGGAGTTGTTTTAATGGGTATAAAGTTTCAGTTCCACAAGATGAAAAAGTTCTGGAGGTTGACTGCACAACACTGTGAATATCCTTAACACTTAAAAACGGTTATGATAAGTTTATGGGTATTTCACCACAATTAAAAATAAAAAATTGTTTTAAACAACTCATCTTTCTAGACATTTTTCCTATAAATATGTATGTATACACTTAAAAAAAACAAAAATAGAAACATACTGTCATCTGTTTTTCACACCTAACCATATGATGTAAACATCTTTCTCATATATATGGCTCCCGCCTCCTTTTTTAACAGCTGACAGTACCCATCATATAACTGCATCATGATTTAACCAGTCGGCTTTCAGTTTTTCAATATTATAAAAACATCACAGTCAACAAGTTTGCATATTTTCTCATCATGTCCATAACAGACATCTGGTTTTTTTACATGCCTTTTTTTCTGGTATCCATACCCTGATTTTCCCAAGGCAAAAATACCTCCTCTTCACACAAGCACCCATCCTGACCCATATCTCCAAACCTCCAGCCAACTCTTATTCTATCTGACTAGCTAGGCACATTTATTTTAAAGTTTATTCCTAGGTATTTATTTTTCATGTTGCTATTGTCATTTCACCTACAATTCCATCTTCTTACTATTGCTTTTTGTCTCTCTTGTAGCTTGCTTATTTTTAACTCAATTCTCTTGAATTTTCTCAGCAGATAATCGTATCAGAGGCAGACAATCGTATCATTTAGGTAGCGATTAAGAGCAAAAGCTCTGGCTCAGGCAGGCCTGGATTCAAATCCTGTGTGACCTTGGCTAAGCATTTTTTACCTGCATTTCCTCATCCATCAGCTAGGAATTACACTAGAGGCTATCTCCCAGGGTTGATGTAAAGATCACGTTTTCAACTGAGACTGCATGGGGAGTGCTTAACACAATGTTAGTTCAATAAATGTCTCCTATCTGTTGAGAAAGAAAATAGAACTTTCTCTCCATGCGTACATCTTTTACTTATTTCTTCTGGTTGCATTACACAGGTGTGCTCCTTTTCAGCAATTACCTTGCTTCCCACGTCTCCAAAACTAAACAAAACAAAACAAAAAAGCCGTCATCAGACTCTTTGCAAAGGATCTGTGCTGTGGATCGCATCCACTCTCACATTCGCTGGAAAGTTGTGCCATTGATTTTCCCCTTCATCTCCTGTATTTTCTCTCCCTCACTACTGGCTGTTTGCCATCAGCATTTAAATCTGCTTGTGTCTCTCTCCTGCTTAAAACGACTTCACCTGATTCCCCAATTGCTCTCCAGCCTTCTCGCTTCTCTTCACAGCCAAACTTCTTGGAGCTGCCTACACTTTGCCTTTACTTTCTCACATCCCACTCTCTCCTCATCCCACTGACATATTACATTGAACCTTTGGAACCTGCCGATATTATAGATTCCACCCCCATCATTTCACCAAATCTGCTCAACTGGGTCTTCAGTGACCTCTATATTTACTTCTGCAAAAGGCACATTTTAACGTTTAACTTCTTTCACTTGAAATCTCAGCAGCATGCAGCAAAGTGGACCTCTTCCTTGGGCTTTACTACACTCTCCTAGTTCTCCTCCCACTTCTCTGGCCATTTCTTCTTGGTGTAGTTCCAAGTGAATGGTTCTGCCTAGAGTGTACAAGACAGTGGCCCTGAATGACCTGGGCCTTCAAAAGAAAAAAGAAAAAACTCTCTGGATGGGTCTCTTCCAATACTGATTCAGTCCCAGTTGTACTGGACTGCTTTTGTCTCCATGAATGTACCTTTAATGTCTGGAATACATGCCATGAGGGCAGGAACCTGATTCCTTACTACTTACACAGTGCCTGGCACATAACAGGTGCTCAGTTAATATTTTTTTGAATCCCCATAAATGAAGAGCTGCAATGTGAAAAACAGACTGGAGAAGTGATGAGACCAAGAAAGAACAAAAAAAAAAATCCTGGTCTTTTGAAAACCATACCTCTGATCACGCAACACACACTCACTGCCTGATTTAAATCGTGCTCCCCACTAACCCCCATGACAAAGTCCAAACTCAGGAGGAGATACAAGTAAAGTTTTTCTTCTATAAGAAGAGCACCTGCTTATCTCTCAAACACACCGAGCCAGATCACTTCCACTTCCCGGAATCTGTCTCTAAACAGGCTATGAAATCCCTGCAGATGCCCAAGAAGCCTGCACTCTCTCCCCAAGACCTTGCACTGGCCGTTCTCTCTACCTAGAAGACTATGCACTCCACCAGCTTCATCTTCCGGCCAATACAGAGGCAGCCTTCATGTCTCATTTTGGAAATCATTTTCTTTTGGAAACTCTCTTTGACCATCCTCCCCAACCTCACCTCCGGAAATCTGGGGTAACTGCCTTCTCTGTGCATTCACAGTCCCCTGTATGTCCAAAATCATAGCTGGAACCACAATGAGTTCCTATTTATACCTTAAATCTGTGGAGTTCCCTGAGGACAAGATGTCTCATTCACTTTTTTACCCCTGGCAATTAGCCCAGGCCCTGATACACAACACATGCTCAATGATGGACCTCCTTCTAGTAGTAGTAGTAACAACGAAAGCTCCCAAGGCTTACCTGGAAGGATTTGAAATATATTATTTGCTTTGTAATAAGCTTCTAAGATAGGTGCTATCATTATCCCCATTCTGCAGATGGGAAAACTGATGGACAAAGAACTTAATCCTCTCTGGCCCCAGAAGAGTCGCACAGACGCACATTTTCTGCAATTCTGAGTTATTCCTCGGCCCCAAATAAGAAGAGCTTTAAAAAAAAACTTTCGAATCACGCCAATGGCCCCCAAATATAATAAACAGACCAAAGCGCTGGACGGGTAAAGGGCAAGAGGGGGCGCAGCCCTGGCGCCAAGAGTGGGGGGAGCGGATAAAGGTCAGGCCCCGTCTCCTTCCCGGGAGTCCCCAGCGGCCCAGCCCCTCGCCCGCTGAGACGACTCGACGCCGGGAACCGCGCGTTAGGACCGCGACTGCCCGCCCTGCCCCTGCTCACCTGCCGTCCCGCCGCCAGCCGAGTCCGGGCCGCTGGCCCGCAGCGCCTCCCCCGGGCTGCCTGGCGCCCGCCGAGCGCAGCGAAGCCCGTTGCCTTGGCGACCGGAGCTGCCGAACTCCCGCGGCTCGCGCTACGGCGGCTCGGAAGGGACTAGAAGGCCTCGCGGCCCCTTCCGCAGCCCCCTAGCGGGCGGAGGAGGGAAAAGCGGGCGGAGGCGGGGAAAGCCGGCGGAAGTCCGGGTCCGGAGCGGAGGGGGACCCGGGTAGGGGTTGGCAGCCTCAAACTTGGCCCGGAGGGACGGGAGAAGGAAGGAAGCTTTGGGGGAAAGGGGGGCAGCCAGGCCGGGGGAGAACTTGGGCTTCATATCCTGCCTGTGCCTCAGTTTCTCTGTCAGCTGAGATGGAGAGTATTCCGGGAGATGACGGAGCCGCAGGCGGAAGCTTGCTAGACTGGGAATATTTAAAGACGTGAAAATTGATGTGGGAAGGGTGGCACATGCCTCTCCCTCTTTAATTTCCAAAACGGTGGTGGGACAAAGAATTTTTTTAAAAAAACTAGAACAAGAAACAAAAAAAAACTTGTTTCTTTGGGCTCATGGTGAGAATTTGATCACCAGATTTAATTTCAATATGAGAAATAATGTACTTTAACTCGTGACTAGCAGTTATACTTCCTGGAATAATCCTGCAGATAATCTTGGAACATGAGCATAAAGAATATTCATTGCTCCATTGTTTGTAACAGCAAAAGGGCTGAGACCAGTCTAAACGTCCATCAGTAACAGATTAATTATGGTACATCTGTAAAATGGATTACCAGAGAAAGAATTAACAGGGACTGAGGTAGATACAGATACAGTTTCCATATAGACCTAGCTTCAAGCTATGCATATAGCTGTTGACTGAAAAATAATAAAAAAAAAAAAAGCACAACCTAAAAGTTGAGAATTATGTTTTATTTGGCTGGACACAGCCTCTCAGACAGCTCGCCACCAGGGAAGCCCCAGATGGTTATATATATTTTAAGAGAAGATTTTATGAGCCCAATTCTTACATTTCCTCTTATCTAGAAAAGCACTAAAATCTTTCATGGTGATGTCTGCTTCTCGTGACTAGCAGCAACCTTCTGCAAAAATGTGTGCTTGATTGCATGTACTCCCCCTTCACCAAAATCACATACACAGTGACCTTCCCCCCTACCTCTTTGGAGCCGTTTCTCAGAGCTATCTGAAATGCTGTCTCCCGGGCTATAGTCCTCATTTTGCCCCAAATAAAACTTAACTCACAAGTCTCATGTTGTGCATTTTTTTTCAGTCGACATATGGCAGGCAACATTTTTCACTTCACACAGCGATAGTCTCCTAACTAGCCCTGTCTTTGCTTCTACTCTAACTTCCAACCCTGCCCCAGTCTCTTCTCCACCCAGCAACCAAAATGATCCTTTAAAAATGTGAACATGGGGTTTCCCTGGTGGCGCAGTGGTTGAGAGTCCGCCTGGCGATGCAGGGGACGCAGGTTCGTGCCCCGGTCCAGGAAGATCCCACATGCTGCGGAGCGGCTAGGCCCGTGAGCCATGGCTGCTGAGCCTGCGCATCCAGAGCCTGTGCTCTGCAACGGGAGAGGCCACAACAGTGAGAGGCCCGCGTACCGCAAAAAAAAAAAAAAAAAATGTGAGCATGATCACATCCTTCCCCTGCTCAAAACCTTTAAGTGTGCTGAACAAAATCTAGAGTTACCATGATCAACAGACCCCGTCCGCTTCCAAGTGAACTACCTCCCTGGATAGCTGTCCAATCCCATCTCTCACCATTTTCCTTCTTGTCCATGCTCCAGCCACCCTGGCTTTGTGGTTTTTAAGTTAAGCATACTTCTATCTCAGGGCCTTTCCTCTTGCTGTTCCACATTGGGACCACTCTTCCTCCAGATATCCCCATGACTTCCTCACTTCCTTCACATCTCTGCTCAAATGTCAGGTCTTCAAAAAGACCTGCCCTGCCTATTTAAAATAGCAGACCCCACCAACTCTGTCTTCTCTTCTCCTGGTTTATTTTTCTTCGCAGCTCTTGTCAGTATCTGATGGAATTTTATACATTTATTTGTTGCCTGTCTCTTTTTGTTCCCAGTGAGTTTAAGGTTCTTGCCTCGTTGTGAAAGAATTTGGAGACAAAGCAGGGAGGTTAAGAAAGTAAAGTGAGAATTTATTTAAGCAAGAATCCACTCTTAGGGGCTTCCCTGGTGGTGCAGTGGTTGAGAGTCCGCCTGCCGATGCAGGGGACACGGGTTCGTGCCCCGGTCCGGGAGGATCCCACGTGCCGCGGAACGGCTGGGCCCGTGAGCCATGGCCGTTGAGCCTGCGCGTCTGGAGCCTGTGCTCCGCAACGGGAGAGGCCACAGCAGTGAGAGGCCTGTCTGTGTACGGCAAAAAAAAAAAAAAGAATCCACTCTCAGAGGGAGAGGGCAGACAGGTGAGGAGCTGCTGCCCTGAGCTTCTCTGGCAAGCTGGTTATGAAGGGCATACAAATGAAGGGGCGAAATAGTCACTGGGGAAAGAGGAGTTTGGGGGTCCTATTCCCTGATTTTCATCCCAACTCCATCTTCCCGAGGGGAGGAGGGATTTTTGTCCTTATTTAGTTTAGATCAGAAGTGTCATGGCGTTGGTGCATGATGGGTACTTCTAATCTGCTAATTTAATAAGGCTAATTTTATTGTAATGAGAGTGTAATGAGCAACAGGTTACATTTGGATGCAGGAGATTCCTGCCTTTCCTCAACTTTCTTTGTCTGCTTCCAGGACACTTATCACCCAAAATGTGTGGTTTCCTGTTAGTCTGGAGGTTCCTGCTTTTCTCTGTCTGACTATGGACTCCTACTGTTTACAAGATGCCTGACTTCCTCCCACCTGGCCCCTGCCCCTATTTTTCTGCTCATACCTAGCTACCTGCCTGCTCTAACATTTTCACTACAGCATAAACTCTTTTAAGGGCAAGCATTTCGCTGTTCCCTGCTGTCCTCTCATCACTGGGAACAATGCCTGGCACATAGTAAGAGCTTGGTAAATATTTCTTGAATGAATGAATAAGTGATGTGATATAAAGAATGTACAACACCACGTGGTTGGAACGCTACAACAGGTAAACGGGGAGTGGTAGGTAATACATACACAGCTGGCATATGCATACAAGAACTCTGGAAGGAGATTTGGGAGATGGCGGGGGGCGGGGGGAGTAAGCTAATACATTTTCACTGTATGTACTTGAGAAATAAAATACTGCCTGCCATATCAGTAAACAAAGGATCTAGCTACTACATTACAGCCTCCCGTGTGACAGTGAACCCTGAGGGAACTCAGGAAGGAAACAAAGAATGCCTGCCATCTAGTAGTCATCAGACTGCAGCCACTCCCAGCGGCGCAGCTTGAGGAATCTCAGGATGAGAAAACACAGGATATGCACCCAGATAGCTGAGGTGCATATCAAAGGAATGATTTCAGTGAGCCCAAACTCTGGCATCTTGCCATACATAGAAAGTGCTAAATTCCTTAACTTGAGATATCTAGTTTTCTTTTACTAAGAGTAGCCTTTTGTTCCGACTACCTTGGTGGTGTTGCAAAAACTCCTATCTGTCCTGGCTTCCCCCTTTCCTCTTTGGAACAGTTTTCTCAGCCTTTATCTGAGATGCTGTCTCCTGGGCTTTAAGTCATAAGAATGTCTGCCGAATAAAACATAACTCTCAGCTTTTAGGTTGTGTATTTTTTTTTCAGTCGACATTCTTTTATGCAGTATTTTAAAAAAATCAAGTTCTAGTAATTGCAACGAGACAAGAAAAATGAAATGTTTAAGTATTAGAAAAAAAGAATAACTTATTGTTTATAGATGACATGATTGTTTATATAGAAATTACAAAAATTCTATATATACATTATTAAAGTTAATATAAGTTTTGCAAGCTTGCTGAATACTAAGTCAATATACAAAATCAATTATATTTCTATATACCAGCTACAAATAGAAAATTAAATTTTAAAAGATAACCTCTAAATGGACTTGAGGACACAGGGAAGGGGAAGGGGAAGCTGGGACGAAGTGAGAGAGTGGCACTGACATATATACACTACCAAATGTAAAATAGATAGCTAGTGGGAAGCGCAGGGAGATCAGCTCAGTGCTTTGCGACCACCTAGAGGGGTGGGATATGGAGGGTGGGAGACGCAAGAGGGAGGGGATATGGGGATATACGTATGCATACAGCTGATTCACTTTGTTATATAGCAGAAAGTAACACAACATTATAAAGCAATTATACTCCAATAAAGATGTTGAAAAAGAAATAGAGAATCCAGTTTAAAATGGGCAGAGAAACTGAACAGTTTTCCAAAGTAGACAAAAAAGTAATTAACAGTGACATTAAAAAGTGCTCAACATCACTAATCATCAGGACACAAATCAAAACCAAAATGAGATCTCACCTCACCTTTCAGAGTGGCTATCATGCAGACAAGCGATAACAAGTGCTGGCAAGGATGTGGAGAAAAGGAAATAAAGCTATCATACGTTCCAGCAACCCCACTATGGATACATATCCTAAGGAAATAAAAATAGGGTATTGAAGATATATCTTCATTCCCAAGTTCATTGCAGCATTATTCACAATAGCCAAATTATGAAAACAACCTAAGTTTCTCCGAAGGGATGAATGGTTAAAGAAGATGTGGCATACATACATATAATGAAATACTGTTCAGCTATAAGAAAGAAGGAAATCTTGCCACTTTCGACAACTTGGATGGACCTTGAGGATACTATGCTAAGTGAAATAAGCCAGACAAAGAAAGACAAATAATGAATGGTATCATTTATATGTGGCATCTAAAAAAAAAAAAAGGTCAAACTCATAGAAACAGAGTCAGATGTGGGCTGGAGGATGAAGGCATTAGGGAGTGGTTGGTTAATGCATACACACTTTCAGCTATAAGAAGAAAAAGTCTGAGTAGCTAATGAAAACATGGTGACTATAGTTTATCACACTGTATTGTGTAATTGAAAATTGCTACGAGGACAGAGCTTAAATGTTCTGAACAGCAACAACAACAAAAAGATAAATGTGTGAGTTGAAATATCCGTTAATTAA